TGAGTTTTGTGTTTAATGTGCGTGATGTTTGTGCTTAATGTGCGTGGGTTTTGTACTTAATGTGCGTGAGTTTTGTACTTAATGTCAGTAGTTGTTGAAACTTAAAGTCAGTGAGTAAATATTTAAAGTGCGTGGGTTTTGTGCTTAATGTGCGTGAGGTTGTGCTTAATGTGTATTGGTTTTGTACTTAAAGTGCGTGAGTTTGTGATTAAGATCTAACACTTAAGGTGCACCTTAGCTTATACTTCTTTGTTCCAGGCACGCGTTTTATTTTTATTTTTAAAATTTTCATTGATTTGAGCCGTTGATCTAAATTTGATCAACTGCTCAGATTTAACCGAACAACAGCACGGGAAGCTATACCCGCACCTGAACCCTTCCCTATATATATATATATATATATATATATATATATATATATATATATATATATATATATATATATATATGATTTTATTGTATATGTAATTTTAAATCATAATTAATTTACAATCTCTTAACAAGATATCTTAGACAAATTATTCTGTGGACCATGGTCCAAAACAATATCGTTGAATTTTGTGAATTAGAATAATGTACATTATGTGTTAGAATAATGATACTTATAGGGTAAGATAATATACATTATGCATGTGTTAGAATAACACTGTGGGAAATCTTTGATTTTTCGATCACTTTAAAAAATGGTCGAAAAGTGACATTTTTTCAATTTTTCGTCGAAGGATTATTGTGGGGAAATAGGTCGGAATACCGACCACAAAGTAAAGGTGGTCAAAAAATAAATTCGGCAGTTTAAAAAATTTAAACTGAGTTGGGAATTGCCGCCAATCTTTCTAACAGCTAATTTTCCGACCACTTTACAAAATTGGATGTTATTTCTGACCACAGTTCTAGTGGTTGGAAGTAGAAACAAAGGTTTTTCCGAACACCAAAAGTGGTCGGAACAAGGGCTTCCGACTTGATTTAAGATCACTTTCAGGTGGTCGGAAATTCCTTGATTTCCAGCCGTGTAATGAAACTTGTGGGGTAAGATAATGTAAATAATGTATTAGAATAATGTATTTATGTGTTAGAATAATGTACATTTATAAGTTATAAAAATGTATATTGAAATGGGTCGCATGAAAAAAATTACGCGAAACGACGTCGTTTTGGACTGTGGTCCACACAATAACTGTTAGATATCTTATTAACCACTTCATTTCATATTAATCTTTAACATACCATTTGAAGTAGAAATATATGCCATTTCAATGTATGGCATTTTGAAAATTGATATGAACAATAAGAAGATAAATTGGTGTGTCAAAAAAATAAAAATAAAAATAAAAAGGTGAGAATGTAATTAATTTTTTTTGTAAGTACGATGTCACACAATATATATTGAGAATGTTTTCTAAACCTTGCTAACAAACTTCAACTACTGTGAGCTTACTTATAATTTGGGGCTAACATTTAAGTAGTTTGGGTAAATATGGATCACGCACTACAAGAAAAATGCACATAGACAACGGTTTTTAACAACACCAATTTCAACAACACTCAATAAACAACGGTTTTAAAACGTTGTCTTTTCTAAAAAAGACAACGGTTAAAAACCATTGTCTATGTGCGTGCCTTTTAACAACACCAGTTTCAACAATACTCAATAGACAACGGTTTTTAAACGATGTCTTTTCTAAAAAAGACAACGGTTAAAAACTGTTGTCTATGTGCATGACTTTTAATAACACCGGTTTCATCAAGACTCAATAGATAATGGTTTTTAACCGTTGTCTTTTTAATCGTTGTCTATTGTGTGTTGTCAAAACCTGTATTCTCGATAATTTCAAGCATAGACAAGGCTTTTTAACCGTTGTCTTATATATCAAAGACAACGGTTTTAAACCGTTATTTTTAATCTGTTTAGATTTTAATAAACATAATCATATAATAAAAATAATTTATCCAAACAGTGTCTTTATATTTGTATCTTCAAACTTTGGTATTGAATACAACACAATCTATATTCTCATCTGGTATCAGTTTCCAGGTTTTCTCTCATGGAGAATCTCGGTGCTAATGATGACGGATCTGTTCGTTCTTCTGACCGGACCGTTACCGAGACTTCTCCTGTGCCAATTGGGAATAGCCTCTCTTCGGCTCATCACTTTGTTTCCCTGAAGCTAACCTCCTGGAATTATCTATTTTGGCGGACACAAATGCTACCGTTCCTGGAGGGCCAAGGCCTTCTCGGCATTGTTGACGGCACTATGTTGTATTCGTCTTCTTCGCCGGCAGATGCATCGACGGCGAACAGTGCACCGGCAACAGCGGTGGTGGTCGATCTCTCGGCTCAACAGATGGCGTGGCGACGGCAGGACAAGGCGATCCTGTCGCTCTTAATTTCGTCTCTCTCGGAGGAGACGTTGTGTTTTTCGGTTGGCCGGACGACTTCCTGGCAGCTTTGGCTAACCATTGAACAAACCCCTGACTCTTCTACTCGAGCTCGGGCGTTCCGGTTGTTTGGTGAGTTACAAAGCTTTCTTCAGGGGAACTCTTCTATATCGGACTACATCGGTCGTGCTCAGATGATGATTGAGGACTTGGCTCTTGCCGGGCGGGAGATTACGTTGGATGATCAAAACTTAAACGTCTTTCGTGGTCTCCAACCTGAGTTCCATCCGTTGGTGGCTACTTTAGTGCGGGGTACTCCGATTTCTCTGACCGAGGTGCAGGACTTCTTGGTCTCCCACGAGCGGATCTGCGCGGATGATGGGGTTGGCGTTGGTGCTCCGGCGACTTTGGCCGTGTACCGTGGCGGTCGCGGCGGTGCCCAGCAGCCGCGAGAAGGTGCTGGCCGTGGCAGAGGCGGTCGGGGCCGTGGGCGGGGTCGCTCTGGTTCTGGGTCACGTGTCAAATATGATACAAACAGGGTCACATTGCGATATCATGTTTGCAACGTTTTTCAGCCTCCTCGGCACCTCAAGCGAATGTTTTTGTCTCAGGTGGTGATGAATCGAGTGGTCCTCATGAATGGTTTCCTGACACTGGTGCTACAAACCATGCTACACCTGATTCCTCCTTAATGACTTCTGCGACAAGTTATGATGGCCTTGAGACTCTTCGTGTTGGCAGTGGTACATGTTTGCCTATTATTAATGTTGGTTCCGCTTCGTTAGCCACTGGTTCTAGTTCTTTTACGTTGCATGATATTTTGCATGTTCCAGGTCTCTTTAATTCCTTATTATTTGTTCAGCATTTTGCTAGAGATAATAATGTTTTCTTTGAATTTCACCTTCTTTGTTTCTATGTGAAGGACACTTTGACCAAGAAAGTCCTCTTTAAAGGACAGACATCTGGAGGTCTTTACACATGGCCTGCGTCTTCTCTTACTCCTGCTGCTTTTATTGCTGCGCGTTCATCTTTCGTTTGGCACATGCGTTTGGGGCATCCGCATTCTAGAGTCTTGCGTCAAATCTTAGAGTCTTCGGCTGTTAGTAAATTTAATTTCAATGATCTCCCAAATGTTTGTTCGTATTGTCAATTGGGGAAATCTTCTCGTTTTCCTTTATCTCGTGTTGAAACTAATAGTACGCATCCTTTACAATTAATATATTATGATATTTGGAGCCCTACGCCGTTACTTTCAGAGAATGGTTTTAAATACTTTGTGTTGTTTGTGGATGATTACACAAGTTTCGATCACTTGTAGAACGTTCCTTTTCTCGCAAGATTATTTCTTTTCAATCTGATTTAGATGGAGAATATAAAAAGCTTGGTTCCACTCTTGCTTCTTTTGAGACTGCTGTTTACCTTATTAATAAAATGTCATCTCGTGTCCTGTCTGATGAGTCACCACACTTTCGTTTGCATCATTCTCCCCCATCCTATTTTTACTTGCGGGTTTTTGGTTGTCTGTGCTTTCCTGTCTTCCGCCCATATAATCAGAATAAACTTCAGTTTCGTTCGTCTCCTTGTGTTTTTCTAAGTTACCCTCAGTCTTATCGTGGCTATCGTTGATTGGATACTAACACTTGCAAGGTTTTTATCTGTTGCCACGTACGATTTGATGAGACTGTTTTTTCCTTTGTTGCCTGTGTTGCCTCGCAGGTTGCTCGACCGTGTTCGGAACCATGGGCTACTGTGCTGGTTGTGAGGCGTCAAGATGGCGGTGATTCGGCCAATTTTATTGATGACGCTTGGGAGCACACTGAGCTAGTTCCGGCTGTTCAAGACGGTGCCGAGCGTCCGCATCCAGTGAGCGGACTGTCTCGAACCAGCCGGTCGCGCAACGCAGTAAGCCGCGCGGACGTCCTCGACGAGTCGCGGGACCTCCACCTCCTCAATCGCATATTATGGCCACTCGTAGCATGGGACCGCATAAACATGTTGCCTTAACTTCTACCGTAGTGCCTGAACCAACCTATTACTCTCAAGCGGTTAAGTTTCCAGAATGGCGTGATGCGATGGACTCGGAGTTTAATGCCTTGGTTCGTAATGTTACATGGCACCTTGTTCCTTTTCAACCAGGTATGAATGTTGTTGGTTGCAAATGGGTTTTTCGAACCAAAAGAAAGGCGGATGGCTCAATTGAGCGGCATAAAGCTCGGTTGGTTGCTAAGGGTTTCAATCAGGTTGCTGGAGAGGACTTTTTTGAGACCTTTAATCCTGTTGTATAGCCGACTACGGTACGTCTTCTCTTATCATTAGCTGTTTCTCGTGGGTGGACCATTCGTCAGTTGGACATCCACAATGCTTTCTTAAATGGGAAGTTGGTTGAGACTGTGTATATGTGCCAACCTCCTGGCTATGAGGACAAGACGTTGTCCAGTTACGTGTGCCTGCTTCAGCAATCTTTATATAGGCTTAAGCAAGCACCTCGTGCCTGGTTCACGCGATGACATGATTTTCTGGTTTCTGTGGGTTTCTCGCCTTCTAAAACTGATGTCTCTCTATTTGTTTATTCGCGTGACAATATTCGGCTATATTTTCTTGTTTATGTGGATGATATTTTGGTTATGGGTTCGGATTCGGATCGTGTTGATGCACTTGTTAGTAAGTTGGCTCTTGAATTTAAAGTTCGTGATATGGGGGTTCCTTCTTTCTTTTTGGGAATTGAAACTGTTCAATTATCTAGTGGCATGCTCTTGTCACAACAGCGTTACATGAAGGATATTCTCAAACGAGCAGGAATGGTTGACTGCAAGCCGGTTGCCACTCCAATTTCCTCTGCCAAAACCGTGGACAACCCTGTGGTTCCGTATGCCGATCCAACTCATTACCACAGCCTTGCCGGTGCTCTGCAGTATCTTACAGTAACTCGTCCTGATCTCTCTTATGCTGTTAACCGTTTGTGTCAGCACATGCATGCCCCTACCACTGCAGACTGGGCGACTTTGAAGAGGGTTCTGCATTATGTCAATGGGACTCTCAATCTTGGTGTCCACATATCTCTTTCTGATTATTTTGACATTCATGCCTACTCTGACTCGGATTGGGCTGGCAATCCGGATGATCAGAAGTCCACTAGTTGCTTTGTTGTGTTTTTGGGGAAGAATCTTATATCCTTGGTGTGCCGCAAGCAACGGACTGTGGCTCGTTCATCTACTGAAGCTGAGTACAAGGGGTTAGCTGATGTGTCTGCTGAGGTCACCTGACTTGTTTCTCTACGGCAAGAAATCGGCTTCCCACTCATCTCTTCGCCGAAACTGTGGTGTGACAACCTCGGGGGAACTTACTTATGTGCTAATCCAGTGTTTCATGCTCGCACGAAGCACATTGAAGTCGACTATCACTTTTTTCGCGATAAAGTTGCCAAGAAGGAGTTGTAAGTTCATTTTATTTCCACCAAAGATCAAATAACTCATATTTTCACTAAACATCTTTCTTCTTTACGTTTTAATTCACTCAGTCACAAGCTCAATGTTTTGGCTAGCCAATCTTGCGTTTGAGGTGGAGTATTAGAACTATATTATTCGTATTAGACTAGAACTCTATTTAGGGTGTGTTTGGTTAGTGGGTTTTGCCCATAGGAATGGGTATGAAAGTGATTATGGTTGTTTGGTTGATAGGTTTTTAGAACACTACTATGGGTTTCGAATACCCCATCAATTGAAAAACTCATACCCAAATACAATAAGGGTTTCATTCCCTTATTCATTTTCAAGCACTACTATTAGTAACCATTCCCATTCCACCGTACTACCAAACATGTTAAATACTTTCATCAAAACCCATTACTATTACCAAGTATTTGATACCCATTCCCATTCCGATTCCGATTCCTATGTTCGAACCAAACACACCCTTAGTGTCTTTATATTTGTATCTTCAGACTTTGGTATTGAATAAACACAATCTATATTCTCATCATATTCACAATGTTCAAAAATACACCCGAACTAATCACCAAGTATAAGGGGGAAAATGAATGTTAAAAAATCTTAAATGATACAAAAAGAAATGAATGGAGCTTCTGTGGTAAACATGCAAGAAAACTTCAGTTATTCAGACCTGAGTCGCTTTAGGAAAACCATTCCTCAAACCATGACCGGCAGAGAGCATAGAGTGAAGCAGTATCAGAAACTTTGACCTGCAATAGTAAACAAATTTGAATTTAACCATTAAAAACAGAAGTTTTGCCTTGAAGAATGAATGATGAGCTCCAGATATATGTATGCTCAGCAGGCGTGATGTGGGGTAAACTCTCCAGCAGACGGAGCAAGATGCAAAATGCCGTGCATTGTAGTGATCTTCAAAGTCATTCAATGATTGGACAGAAGACATTACTAATCAAAGGTAGGTTGCAACCGGACTCAGTGTTGCATTCCTGACTAGTGACTACATACTGAGTCCTTTAACAATGTATATAGATTCCACACAAAGGATGCAACAGAACAAAACAACAAAATTACATGAAGTGAGGCCAAACCACCCCAACTATTTCAACATAACACTTTGAACACCCTTTTGCAAATTATCCATCTTCCTTGTGCTGCCTTTTGAACTGGATCAATATCATAAATCAAATGCATTCATTTTTATATTTTATAATGACAATGCAGCCCACACATCGCCAGCTTAAATAGATGAACCCCCTAATTATATTATATTATATTATATTTTATTCGTAAATCAAAACTTGAATGTTCATCCAGGATCAGTCTCATATTTAAAACAAACCATGCTTCTAATCTCCAAGACTCCAACTGGATCAATATTATCATAAATCAAATGCAATCATTTTTATATTTTATGATGACTACCCAGGTGTATTGCCACCTTAACTAGAACTTGATTGATCCAGATGTTGGTTGTTTAATTGTGTTAGAATGTTAGGGCAGTGGGAATGCCATTATAAAAACAAATACAGTTGCTGATTTCTGTTATAAATTACATGTAAAATTGGACCTAAACCTGAAGTTTAGTTTAAGGCAAGGAAAAGTAAAGGTAGAAATTGATTTATGTACTTACCCCCTACTATACATGCACAATGGGAACCAAACGAGGCTCCTTGCACTACAAATTGCATTTTTTTTTTTTGAATGCTACTAGCAGCAGATTAGAGAGGCTCGAACTCACAACCTCCCAAATGGAAGTCCAACCCGCATACCATTGGACCACATAGTCCTGGTAACACTACAAATTGCATATTTAATCAGATATTGTAGATAAAAGATTAGTCATGTATTACTTTTCCCTTTTTACAGAATCACATTAAATAGAAGGCAATTTCACATAAAATAAAAATGATTGGATTTTTACAGGAATTCGTATATATTCATATATACACGCACATCTACGTGTCTAAAAAGTGTTTAACAAAAAAAGAAACACATGATAGATAATAGCAGATACTAAAATTTGAAAAACAACAAAAAAAAAAAAAAACAACAAAAAAAAAAAAAAAACAAAAAACAAAAACATCCATGAAATACACCAGGGTGGAAAGATAGTGAGCGGAAAAAGCATCTAAAAATATTGCGAAATTGATTTCTAAAGAAGTTGATGAACCCCAAAGCAAGAACAATGAAAATACAGAGTAATCTAGGAGGGGCACAGGGGAGCCGGGAGGCTAAGTTCAGAGTCAGCAACTTCGTCATCAGCAGGGGCTGAGGCGGAGACCAGGCAGCAGCTTCGTCGTCGGCAAGGGCGGAGGCGGAGACTGGAGAGGAGACCCGGAGTCTTCCTGTGTTATCGACAGTAGCTTTGTGGTCGGAACTCCGTCGTTGTGTCTTCGTCTCGCAAGAGTAGCTGTCGGCTGAGCTTGGGGAAGCGATAGAATTGCAGGGAATTAGGCTACTGCAAATCACTCTCACTTTTAAAAATGAGTCCCCGCTTCTATTTTATATTATCTATCTGTATGTATCTATCTATCTATATCTATCTATATCTATATCTATATCAGGGCCGGCTTGGGAAGGACCCCATCTTATCTCTTATATATAGTATATATGTATTGAGTATAAGTAATTTATATACATATATTTAACAATAAGGTGATTTAGTTTGATTGGTAAGATACTTAAATTTTAACCTCATTTAATTAGAGGCCCGTGATCCAATCTTTCCCTTCACATTTTAGAATTCCTCAACTTTACTTCTTTGCTTATATTCTAATATATCTTTTAAAAAATTATTTTATTAATTTTTTGTGTTTAATACGGAGTAATATTTTTAATTTAATTTTTAAATATATAAATTTTCATATATTTATACTAAACATATGAAATTTTTTATATTAGATATATAAATTTTTATATTAAATTTTTAATGTAGCTTCTAAATTTATAAATTTTTATATACTTATACTAAATATATTATACTAAGACTATGTGGTCTAATGGTACCCGGGTTGGACTTTCATTTGGAAGGTTGTGAGTTTGAGATAGACGTAGGGGATTATATGATATATTTTGAGATTGAATTATATAAAAAAAAAAATTTAAAAGATAATTTACTCCGTACCTTTGTATTCAAATTATTCTAAAAAGGTTTGAAATTTATGTATTTAAAAGAAAAAGTATTTATAAAAATCATATAAATAATATAGAAGATGTGTGACTTATAATATGCTTTATGTTCAAACTATTTTATCTAGATAATTATCGTTCATATCTTTTTACATTTTTTTTATTGCGTTTTAAAATATTTTAATTTCTTACTCCTAGTCAAAAAAAAGATTTTTAGCTTCACATATGTTTGTAACTATTGTTTTATAAATTTTTAATAATAATTAATTTATTATTTATTATGATAACAATGTTATTGTTTATAAGTTTACTCGATTTTAAATTATTTATTCATTTTTATAAAATATAATAATTATTTATCTATGAAGGCACTTATACCATTATTTATTATTTTGCATTATGGAATGCACCTAGAATTTTTTCAATGATTGTTATTGTGTATGTAAAATTGTTAAAAACTTGTTAATCTTATTTAAAGTTATTGATATTAATAATTTTTCCTTATTTAATTTAAATTTTAGGCATGAAATATATATTAACCGGAGCCCATTTTTTTTTATCTTGCTTCGGGCCTATAAAATGATAGAACCGGTCCTATAAAATGATAGGACCGGCCCTGATCTATATCTATATATCTATATCTATATATATATATATATATATATATATATATATATATATATATATATATATATAATAAAGTTACAATTTGTGGTAAATAAAAAAAATCAGTTTCCCGCCCATGGTAAACGACGTTGGTTGATGTTAGCCATGTTATTATTATTATTATTATTATTATTATTATTATTATTATTATTATTATTATTATTACTATTATTGTATTAGGATAAGTCAGTAGTTTACTAGTATGACTAGCCTATTGTGTAGGAGTAGTTTACGTTAAACATATCTACTTAGTATTCTATTGTAACTGCTTTCTGAACTAATCAACGAATATCATTCTCATCTGGTATCAGCCAATCAGGTTAGACTCTCTCTCCAAATTTTTCCCCACCACCACCGTAAACCACCATCCCTTATCGCCATGTCCAGTGAGTCATCCGAGAGGACCGTCACCGCCGCCGGTGCTGCGTCGCCGGCGACCGCCTCCAATCCACTATCCGGGGCACACCACTTTGTGTCCATAAAATTGACAATGCGCAACTTTCCTTTTTGGAGGACTCAGTTGGTGCCATTCCTCCGTGGCCAGGAGTTGCTGGGGTTCGTTGATGGCGAGATCCCGTGCCCTCCACCGCTCATCGCTGCTATGCCGGAATCCGGCGAATCCGCGACTGCCTCCGCCACCCCGACTTCGATCCCGAATCCTGACTACAAGGCGTGGATCAGACAAGACCAGGCAATCCTGTCTTTACTCATCTCATCCCTCTCGGATGAGGTGATGCACTTAGCGGTTGGCCGTTCAACATCGCGGGAAGTGTGGGAGTCCATCACCACGGCGCTGAGCAGCTCCACCCGAGCACGTTGTCTGAGTCTTCTCGATCAGTTCCACCTCGGTAGAGCGCAATTACTGGTGGAAAACATAGCGCTAGCCGGATGACCTATTTCACTTGATGAACAAAATTTGTTCGTCTTCCGCGGGTTACGTCCAGAATACCGAGCCATGGCGTCGTCTCTTACGGCCGCAGGTACACCGGTAACAATCTCACAACTCTCAGATTAGTAACAGGCACAGGAATTCATACATGCAGAGGACTTTTCGGTGGGTGCCGAGGCTGGTTTTGGCGCTCCACCAACAGCTCACTATGTCGGACGAGGCCGCAATGGGGGCGGTGGCCGGCATGGAAATGGACAGTCCGGGGGTCGTAATCGCGGACGAGGAGGCCAAGGCCGGGGACGAGGTCGGAACGGCACTCCTCGCTGCCAAATTTTTCGCGCCCAAGGCCATACCGCCGTGACATGTTACCAGCGCTACGCCGGACAGTCAGCAGCGCAGGCCCACGTCGCCGTGGTCGGCGACGAATCTGGCTCGGGTTCGACGGCCGGATGGTTTCCCGACACCGGCGCGTCGGCTCACGCTACACCAGACGCAATTATGATGTCCCAATCAGACGAATACACTGGTGGCGATGTTCTGCGCGTGGGAAATGGTGCAGGTTTGATTATTTCCCGAGTTGGTCAAGCGTCTGTACCATTTGAATCTAAGTCACTAAAAATGTCTAATGTCTTAATTGTTCCTGATTTATCTGTTCCTTTACTGTCAGTACAACGGTTTACTAATGAAAATAACTGCTACTTTGAATTTCACAAGAATTGTTTTTTTGTGAAGGATTCCATAACTCAGGCAACACTCCTTAAGGGGCCCACCTCGAGTGGTCTATATAAACTTCCGGTGTCACAGTCTCATTTTGCCTACCTCACTTCCCGTACCACTCCCGATGTGTGGCATCGAAGGCTTGGCCATCCTCATGCAAGCGTTCAGAGTCGTGTCCTAAAAACCTGTCCAGTCGCAACAAATAAAGCCACTTCACTGGAATCATGCAAATCGTGTAATATGGGAAAATCAGCTAGATTTCCTTTAGATAGGGTTCCTTTCAGTAGTCAAAATGTGTTAGATTTGGCATATACTGATATTTGGGGGCCTTCCCATGTAATTTCCAGTAGTGGCTATAGGTATTTTGTATTATTCGTTGACGACTTCTCTCGTTTCACCTGGTTTTATCCCTTACGGGTAAAATCAGATATATATAAAACTTTTGAGGTGTTTCGTGTCCTGGTAGAACGCCAATTTTCGCGTTCTATCAAATCCATTCAATCGGATCTAGGTGGGGAGTACCGTAAATTACATAATATTTTTGCTAATCTCGGTATAAACCACAGACAATCATGTGCATATACGCACGAAAAAAACGGGCGGGTAGAATGCAAAAATCGGCATATAGTTGAAACCGGATTGGCCCTACTGGCCGAAGGTTCAGTCCCTCTACAATATTGGGACTATGCTTTTAAAACAGCCACCTGTCTAATAAATTATCTACCGTCATCAGCCCTACAGTTTCAAAGTCCCTACAGTCTTATACACAAAGTGTCCCCGCCATACACATTCCTTCGTGTGTTTGGGTGTCACTGCTACCCTCATCTTAGGCCCTACAATCGGCACAAGATGGAGTATCGGTCTACACCCTGCGTATTCTTAGGTTACCCATTGTCCTTTAGGGGGTACAGATGCGTTGATTTAACTTCTGGAAAGGTCTATATCTGTCGCCATGTGCGCTTTGATGAACATGTCTTTCCTTTTGCAGAATTGGAGAAACAGGTTGACAACTCCGTATCATCACCGGCACTCCCGTGGGCGACTAGTCCAATCTCTACTCAGACTGTGTCTAATCCTACGGTGGTGTCCCACGAGGCCGTGCCAGGGCCGTCGGCTAGTCCGGTTCCCTTGGCACAAGAGGCGCCACCCCCATTGGCTATTGAAGGGCCTGTCAGGACTCGTGCAGTCAGAGTCCGCAAAGCCCAGACTCGGGTTCGGGATCATATAATGCGGCTTCGCCGTATGACTCGAGGAATGGGCGAAGAGTTTCACGTGTTAAGCACAACTACTGACCCAACATGCTACTCTCAGGCTGTTGGGCACCCGCAGTGGCGTGAAGCCATGGATCAAGAGTTCAATGAACTCTTACACAACAATACTTGGTCCCTGGTGCCTCCCGAACCCCACATGAATGTAATCGGGTGCAAGTGGGTATTCCGGACCAAGCGTACTGCTGATGGCTCAGTTTAGCGTTATAAAGCTAGGCTTGTGGCCAAAGGCTTTAATCAGGTAGCCGACGAGGACTTCTTCGACACCTTTAGTCCTGTTGTCAAGCCGAGTATTGTCCGTCTGCTATTTTCCCTTGCTGTTTCTCATCATTGGACACTCCGTCAGCTAGACGTTCATAACGCCTTCCTTAATGGGCATCTAGCTGAGACTGTCTACATGAAGCAGCCACCGGGGTATGAAGATCCCACACATCCGGATTATGTGTGCCATCTTCAGCGCTCCTTGTATGGCCTGAAACATGCTCCCCGAGCTTGGTTCAAAAGGCTGCATGACTATTTGCTTTCTGCAGGTTTTGCACCATCGAAAACGGATGTATCTCTCTTTCATTACACATCTGGCCAGTCACAGGTCTACCTGCTCGTGTATGTTGATGACATAATTATGATGGGCAATGATGCAGCCCTCATCAACACCCTCCTACACCGACTATCAGACACATTCAAAATCCAGGATCTTGGCACGCCTGGATTCTTTCTTGGCATAGAAACGGTTCAGCTTGACTCCGGCATGATGCTCTCACAACGTCGTTACATGAATGACATACTAGCTCGCGTTGGAATGTCCGAGTGCAAACCGCTTGCTACACCCGCGGCAGTAACTCACGCTGTTTCACCGTCTCAGGAACCGTGTGACAATCCGACTCAATATCGCCGCATAGTAGGGGCACTTCAGTACTTAACCATTACGAGGCCTGATCTGTCTTTTGCTGTGAATCGGTTATGTCAATTCATGCATTCCCCCACTACTGATCATTGGAGTCTCGTGAAGCGGGTCCTTCGGTACATCATAGGGACTCTAACTCACGGTCTACGACTGACACCTTCTCCCTCGGCTACTATTCATGCCTTTTCAGATTCCGATTGGACCGGTTGCCCGGTAGACAGAAAGAGTACTAGCGGATATGCTGTTTTCCTTGGGACTAATCTGATCTCTTGGTTATCCAGGAAGCAGCGGACTGTTGCTCGCTCCTCCACTGAGGCTGAGTACAAAGCTCTCGCTGACGTCTCTGCTGAGGTCACGTGGGTTGTGTCGGTACTGCGGGAGCTAGGGCTACATAGCGGAGAACTGTCTAGCCTATGGTGTGATAATCTCGGCGCTACGTATCTTTGTGCCAACCCGGTTTTTCACGCCAGGACTAAACATGTGGAAATTGACTACCACTTCGTTCAAGACAAGGTCGCATCCGGAGATATGACAGTGAATTTTGTTTCGACCAAGGACCAGCTAACCGATATCTTCACCAAACCGCTACCTGGCCCTCGTTTTGCTGCTTTACGAGACAAGCTCAACGTGGTTGTGCACCCTCCTTGAGCTTGAGGGGGAGTGTTAGCCATGTTATTATTATTATTATTATTATTATTATTATTATTATTATTATTATTATTATTATAATTGTTATTCATATTGTATTAGAATAAGTCAGTAGTTTACTAGTATGACTAGCCTATTGTGTAGGAGTAGTTTACGTTAAACATATCTACTTAGTATTCTATTGTATCTGCTTTCTGAACTAATCAACGAATATCATTTTCATCGTTGAAGCATTTGAATTACTTTCGGCCACAAAATTTCCACGGTAATATGCCAGATGCATTATTTTAGGGTTTACGATTTTTGAACGATATTTTGTGGCTTATAATTGAGAAAGGTTCTATATTAAGTACCAAAACCTTTTTCGCATGCGTGAATTCAAATTTTGGACGCTTCGTTTCTCAAGATACGGCATTCAATTAATTACAATAATGATTATCTTCAATTATAAATACATCGTACAGAATCAGAATCAATTCTACTGCATATCAAATACTATACTTCCAGAGCTGCATTCTGTTAAAACCATGGCTCCAATGTACATCCTTGCAAGAGATAACACTCCTATGAAGACTGAAGTGGCGATGAAGTTGCGATTGGTTCGCACCTATGATATTTATCAAAGTAGAGATAGTGATGTTATAAAATGCAGAGAATGCATGTTTCACAATGAACAGGTAAATTTCGTTACTTTCATTTTATATATTCATTCGTTTTCTTGCATTAAACATACATGTAAACATTCTGTGTATGGTATATGTTTGGGTATGGATAATGGTTGGATTATTAATTTTTAGCTTTCCGTTTTATTGATTCATGTGTTTTCTTGCATTATTCATTTGTTGAAATTCAGTTTAATATACCCGCACTATGTTAATGTTATACAGGGAGAATATGTTCACTTCCATATCCCAAAGGATCATCTTTGTAGTCCTAATACTTTTGTCGATGGAAAAGTCTACTGTATAAAAAATTTTGTGCCCGTAACTTATTTCTGTACCTATAAAACAAGCATTCATCCTTACATGCTTAAATTCTATCATAAGACTCTGGTGAAAGAGTACAAGGGTACAGACTACCCTAGATTGTTAAAATCTTTTGCATCATTGAAGTCCCTTGAAGGAATTGATCCAAAGCACCTATTTGGTATGTTGTTTTATTCATCGTAATATCTATTTTTTTTTAATTATATTCTTCTCCGCAAGATTGATTAAAACCTGTCTTATTTTTAGATGTCATTGGTCGTGTCGTGGAAATTTACTCACCGTTGGATGTAACGATAGCAGGGAGGCCTTTGCGTCTAATTGATTTTCTAATTGAGGACTCAAAGTAACAGAATTATTATTCTTCCTATTCATACTAACATGGTATTGTCTAACTAATAATTTACTAATTACAGTAACTAATAATTTATTATTTGTCTCTGTACAGTGGTAATCAAATGAGATGTACTATGTGGGACCAACATGTTGACAAAGTGTTGCCTTATTGGAACTCAGATGTACTTGAACCTTTAATTGTTCTAATACAACTTTGTAGGGTCAAAGTTGCAGAAAATAGTAAGGATTTAATTGTTTTATACAACTACCATTTCTTTAAAGTTGAAGAATACTTCTAGCAAGTATTCTTATATTTATTTAGTTAGATTTCATTTTGTATAAAGTAAATATAAATGTAGAAGGATGCACTTACTTCATTTACATATGGGAAAGCGTATTGCCATGCCCTTCTCTGTTTTGAAAATCTCTTAATCTCACAAAACCTTTAGTTTACTGCACAAAAAATGTAGATAAGTATAAAGTTTGAGTTATTATTTATGTAGCTGGTGAAGTCAAAATATGTAGTTCATACGATGCTACACATGTGATTTTCAACAAAGAGTCTATAGAATTCATTTAGTTCCGAGAAAGGTATGTGAATTTGATATACATATACTCATTGAATTAGTTAATAATTTTATAATATTGTCCTGTGCTAAATAAATTATTAACAAATTATATTTCAGTGTAAGTCATGAACAAACTCCCCTTTAGGAGCATTACATCCACTCGAGCTTTAGCAATGGAACACTAGCAAACTCATGTTATAGTACTGGGAAGATGGTTTTGAGTAGTATTTCTGATATCTATGAACGGAGAGAGGTATATTCTATACTTTTTTAGATAAATATACTTTTTAACTGTCTAATATAACTTTTCATATTTTTATTTTTTGCTTGCAGTTCGGAGAGTACTGGGTGGCCTGTAAAATTAATTGTATTGATTCTAGCATATATGATTGGTACTATGTCTCTTGCAAGTCTCAAGGATGTTTCAAAAAATTGGATTTCAAATATGGAATGTATTTTTGCATAAAATGTGGTAGAATTTTGAATGGGGCTGTTTTAAGATATAAGGTCAGAATTCGTGTCGTTGATGTTAATGGTAATGCACCTTTGTTACTTTGGGACCGTGAATGTGTTGAGCTTTTAGGAATGACAATAATTTAAATTCAAATATATTCATTAATAATAATTTTTTTATTTCCATATTTTTGGTAAATTTAAATCGTATGTCGGTTTAAAAAAAAAATCGTATGTCATAGCAACAAAATAGTACATGGTACTTACTTATCTTCTCCTCAAAATCAGCTAAACAACATGGATATATCAACAATCCGACTCAACATCATTCTGCAAGCGTCTAGCGTGAAATACGCAGACAAATTAGTTGCCTTAGTAATGGTTAGTATATTTAAATTTTGCTTACTTTAATAAAAAAAAATTGGATTGCATATTAAGTTTTTTTTTTAGTTGTGAATTTGTGTCAAGCAATATGTTTACTTTATGTACATTTGTTAATTATTATCTTTTCTTCTCTGGTAGAGAATTATACTCGGGAGATGCGGCGGTCAATTAGTTCAATAAAGTCAAAAGTGATTAGTGAAAATAGACTTCATGAAAATAAATGGTGACATTGTACAACCATCAATTGCTACTCCAAGTACTATATTGAATTCTGGTTAGTTTAGTTCACAACTTCACATAATGAATCATGTTTATAATTATTGTAATTGTGTGTTCTTTTGGAACATAAAAGTACAAGAGAATGAGTATCTAACTATATATTCAACCTAATATTCTTCTTTCCGAAACAGGTGGAGTGCAAAAACATTCAGTATGTGACTCACTGAATATACATGATACTTATAATACGAATAGAGTATCAAGTACGTCATTTACGAATCCTATATTTTATTTAACCACTCAAGTAACAAAATTCTTAAAAGTTATGACTTATTTGTTTTTATATGATTATTATAAATAGGGAGCCAACTCACTACCGAACCGATCAACCATAATATTACAAGTCGGTTAACGCATATTAGGAGTGATTATTCAACTTAATGTCGAAACCTACACAATGAGTTCAACGAAGAAATTGAACATGAGCAAATCACACCTAATATTCCAGGTGGTTAGTTTCGCTCTTACAAATGTTTTTTTGGATGAAATATAGATTTCAGATTTTTTAATAAAAGTTGTTAACCAAAATTCTAACAATACTTTTTTATTTGTTGCAACAGTCGATTATGCTGATTTTGATGACCCTATTGATTCATGTGTACATTGTGGTGCGGTGTTTTGGTATGAGGAACGATTAGAGAAGTCCAAGGTTAATGGGATTGTTAAATATTCCTTATGTTGCAGTCATGGAAAGATCAAATTACCTATGTCTACAACACCGCCAAAAAAATTGTATGACTTATTCTTTTACCCAGGGGACAAACAAAATCACTTTTTAGAGAATATTAGGTCCTATAACAATATGTTTTGTTTTACGTCGATGGGTGGAAAAGTTGATAGAACAATTAATATTGGTAGTGCCCCACCAGTGTACCGGATAAATGGCCAAAATTTCCACCTGATAGGAAGTCTATTACCCGCTGATGGTGCACCTCTGAAGTTTGCTCAGTACATCCATGACACGCAGAATGAGATTACCAATTGTCTTAATTCAATAATGTACATTTCTTTTATTTTCATCATGTATCTTATGTTTATCTTCGAATATTGTTTTCATTTTTTAAAGTATACGAAAAGTAATTGATTTTTATTCTTTTTACATAGGGGCGATAATGATCAAAAGTCATTGCACTTGGAGGTGGTCGATGACATTAAACAAGTTCTGGACGAACACAATGTATTGGTTAAATCATTTTGAATGCCTAGGACGGAGATTGAAACTAATCCTCGGACAGAAATACGAATGAGACTAATAAGAAAGAGGAAAAAGGATGCTAGAACATATAATTTACCAACTGTATCTAAGGTAGTCGCTCTAATAGTGGGAGACCTGGATCCAGTAATGGGCCAGCGTGATATATTGGTGGAATCAAAATCAGGATCTCTTAAGAGAATTAGTGAACTAAACCCAGCATACTTACCATTGCATTATCCGATTCTATATCCATACGGAGAAGATGGATATAGGGAGGATATTCCATTCTCCAGTAGTGCTACACAACAAGGTTTTGGAAGACAGCGTATATCACCTAGGGAGTATTTTTCGTATCGTATACATGAAAGGAGAAATGAACTTTCGACGTTGTTGCACTCCAAGAGGCTGTTCCAACAATATTTGGTTGATGGGTACACTATGGTTGAGTCAGGTAGGCTTCTTTTTATAAGAAATAATCAGAAGGCATTGCGGTGTGAAGCGTACAAAGTTCTGACAGACGCGTTGTTTAGAGGAGACGTAGACCCTTCAACTCAAGGCAAGAGGGTGATTTTACCCTCGAGTTTTACAGGAGGTGCCAGGTATATGATACAAAACTACAAAGATGCCATGGCTATATGTTGTTGGGCAGGTTATCCAAACTTATTCATCGCGTTCACATGCAACCCAAAGTGGCCTGAAATAAAACGTTATACTGTAGCGAAGGCACTGCATGCAGAAGATATACCAGATATTGTTTGTAGGATTTTCAAGATGAAGTTGGATTCATTAATCAAAGAGTATAGATCTGGAGAATTGGTTGGGCCAATCAAAGCATCTAAGTCGCTTTAGTATATTACAATTTATGTTATAGTTTATTTGTTCTGATGAGATTAACAAGAACAAGAAAATAATAATAATGGCTAAAAGGGTAAAGAGGGCAAGATTTACGTGGTTCAGCAAAGTGCCTACATCCATGGGAGTGAAACAATTCTTATATTCATAGTGATGGTGATAGTGGTGACACAACCCCTTAGGGATACATCCAATATATTTATAGGCATCTAATCCCTGTACAAAGGGTTTACCCGTTTCACTCCTACTCCTAGTATGAGACAAACTCATATTCCTAATCCATATATGAAACAAACTCAACAATCTCCACCTTGGCGAATATGCTCTTTAGGAGAAAAGATAACTCAACAAATCCCCACCTTGACGAATATGCTCTTTAGGAGAAAAACTTATCTCACCATCTCCACCTTCACATATATGCCCTTTATGAGAAAGACTATCTCCACCTTGGCAAATATGTCCCTTAGGAGAAAAGATAACTCAACAAATCTCCACCTTAGCAAATATGTCCCTTAGGAGAAAAGACTTATCTAACCATCTCCACCTTCGCAAATATGCCCTTTAGGAGAAAAAGATTTATCTCACATATACACATGGGTATGAACAACCATGCTCATCCCAACTAGCCAGACACACGCATACGCAGCATCAAACGTTACCCAGTGCATGTACACAAACCGCTTCGTCCCAAGCCATTCGCCCTCAACCGTCGACTTGTTATACCAGCCGCGGCTCATGCTAATTGCCCGTTCAGCTGACCTCCTGCATCTAGCCCATACCAGGTCCATATCCCCTCCTGGTATCCACGCTGCCCCAACACAACAGCGCCCCTGCAAAGTCACACTAAACCCGTGTCCCTAGTTGCCACTGGTTAGCAACACACACCACGCAGCATCAAACATTTCCCCGTGCATGTTCACGAACTGCTTCGTCCCAAGCAATCCGCCGCACCAGCCGTGACTCATGCCAAGCCCGGCACATACCAACCTACCAACCGTAACTCGTGCCAAGCCCCGGTCCATACCGATACCAGGTCCGCGACCCCTCCTGGTATCCGCGCTGTCCAACACTACAGCACCCCTCACCACCTTCTCATCTAGCATCTAGAAATGCCCAACAAGTCCAAACAATGTTCGAACTTGTTACTAGTTACCGCTAGAACATCACCTTCACTATAATAAGAGTCAGCTTGAACCACGTTCATAGCTTCCTGGTTCTTCAACTCCTCCCAATCAGCCTCTTCCAGATTAGCTGGTTTTTCCGCCTTCAAGGTTTTCAGAAGGTCCTCATGTGCCAACAAATCCTTTACCTTAGATTGCCATAACCCAAAATTCCCTATACAATCAAACTTTGATACCTCGAATTTTGTACTTGAAATAGCCATCTCAACTATGCTCTGATACCAATTTGTTGAGATTAACAAGAACAAGAAAATAATAATAATGGCTAAAAGGGTAAAGAGGGCAAGATTTACGTGGTTCGGCAAAGTGCCTACATCCACGGGAGTGAAACAATTCTCTTTATTATTTGTGATGGCCGGTGATGAGATACATTCAATATATTTATAGGCATATAATCTCCCTTTCACTCCTATTCCTTATATGAGACAAACTCATATTCCTAATCCATATATGAGACAAACTCAACATGTTCTCTTTAATATATAGATTATTATTTGATTTGATTTTTGTTAATTGTACAGTGATATACACAATAGAGTTTCATAAACGTGGGCTACCGCATGCTCATATACTACTATTTAGTGGAACAAACACTTTGTTGTCATCAACAAGTTACATGGACTCTATAATTTCAGCAGAAATACCCGACAAAGAGATTGACAAAGAATATTACCATGCAGTCGAAGAGTTCATGAATCATGGTCCTTGCGGAGTTGCTAGGAAAACTTCTCCTTGCATGCAAAATGGACGGTGTTCTAAAAACTTTCCAAAAAAGTTTGTTGATTCATCAAGTTTCGATGCTGATGGATACCCGATATATAGAAGGCTGATGGAAGGACAATTACCAAAAACAATATTCTTTTGGACAATAGATATGTTGTGCCTCACAATAGATACTTGCTGTTGAGATACAAAGCACATTTAAATGTTGAATGATGCAACCAATCAAGATCTATAAAATACTTATTCAATTATGTGAACAAAGGCAATGATAGGGTAACAACTGAGTTTTATAAGAGTACAACAGATTCAAATGGTGTCGAAGTCGTGGATAAGATCAACATGTACTACGACTGCCGATACATTTCTTCTTGTGAGGCTACTTGGCGATTACTTAGTTTGACATACAGTGTAGAACACCTGCAGTTGAAAGACTTAGTTTCCACTTGCCGGACAGCCAGACGGTGTTCTTTCAAGATGATGAAGATATCAAAACATTGTTAAATAAGGAAACCGTTGGGAAAAAACATGTTTAGTGGATGGTTTGAGGCCAATAAAACCTATCCAGAAGCAAGATTGTTAAGTTATATTGATATGCCAAATCAATTCGTGTGGAAAAAAGATATTCAAAAATGACAACCAAGGAAAAAGGGTTTTTTAATTGGTCGTATCTTTTATGTTCCTCCGGGCAGCGGCGAGTTGTATTATCTAACATGTTTGTTAAACATAGTCCGAGGACCTACAAGTTTCAGTGACCTAAGGACATTTAATGGAATAGAGTACAACTCATTTAAGGGCGCATGCTACGCGCACGGTTTGTGACTCTCTTGATGGCAAACACAATGTCTAATCCAGAATTGGTGTGGAACAAAGTATGGTTACACCTCGTTGACGATGCACAACACAATCGGTAGAAGTAATTAAATAACCCAGGTCCTCATTTAGCAATATTTCAATTAAATTCTTTTAACATTCTGGTGTATATAATAACATACTATATTTTTTTTTAACATTTCAGAATTGTTCTTAAGTGATGAGGAAAAAAAGGACTTGACACTGTTAGAACTGGAAAAGCTATTATCAGTGTATTACAAAAACGAGAAAGATTTTCCCAACATGCCTCTGGCTTCAGAAGGAAATAATGCTATGACTAATAATAGGTTGTTGTGGGAGGAGTTAGCATACGTTCGTGTCACTCTAATGGAAGAGATAGAAGTACTTAGTGCACAACTAATAGAAGAGCATAGAGCTATATATGATGCCGTTATTTCAAATGTCTATTCTAACAACGGTGGATTATTTTTTGTGTACGGGTATGGTGGTACAGGCAAGCCTTTTTTATAGAGGACACTATCGTCATCTATTAGAGGTAAAGGTGATATTGTGATCAATGTGGCATCGAGTAGTATAGCATCTTTACTTTTACCAAGTGGACGTACTGCACACTCAAGGTTTGCTATACCAATCTCCCTCAATGAAGACTCCACATGCAATATTAGTCAGGGCTCTGACCTCGCAGAACTTATTGTTCAAGCTAGATTGATCATTTGGGATGAAACACCAATGATGCACAAGCATTGTTTTGAGGCATTGGATCAAACGGTGAGAGGTTTATTACGTTTTGTCAATGACAATAGTGCTCATAGGACATTTGGGGGCAAGACTGTTGTGCTGGGTGGTGACTTCAGGCAGATATTACCAGTAGTTCCAAAAGGTACCAGACAAGACATTGTTTGTGCGAGTATAAACTCTTCATACCTATGGAGAAATTGCAGGGTAATTCTCCTCACAAAAAATTTGCGTTTACAAAATATGGAACAGGGTATGCAACAACATAAACTAGATCAATTTGCTAAATGGCTTGCTTCACTCGGTGATGGTACGATTGGCGAAGATAATGATGGTTACGCTAATGTTGATATTCCATCTGAATTGTTGTTGAAATCAGCTGGTGATCCTATTGCCACTATTGTTCAAAGTATGTTCCCGAACTTTAGTGGAAGTCATAATGATGGGAGTTGTTTTCAAAGTAGTGCAATTTTAGCAACAACACTAGAAGTGGTCAATGAAGTTAATCAATACATGTCAGACATAACTTTTGGAGAAGGAAAAACATACTATAGTTGCGACACAGCATGCAAAGCAGATTCTTCCAGCTCAATACTTGCAGATGTCCACATCCCGGAATTCTTAAATAGCATACGAGCATTTGGCCTTCCAAACCACTCTTTAACATTAAAGGTTGGATCTCCTATGATGTTAATGAGAAATATTTACCACACTCTTGGCCTTTGAAATGGAACTCGGTTGGTTGTAACCAGATTAGCAAACCATGTTGTTGAAGCAAGCATCCTGGCAGGACCAAATGCTGGCACAAGGGTATTAATTGCTAGAATGACCATCACACCATCAGATCCAAGACTGCCATTCAAGTTTAATAGGAGACAATTTCCGTTAATGATGTCATATGCAATGACCATAAACAAGAGCCAAGGGCAAATATTGTCTAATGTAGGATTGCTGTTAAAGAAACCAGTATTTGTTCATGGCCAATTATATGTTGCTGCATCAAGAATAAGCAACCAAGACGGGCTCAAAATATTAATTTGTGGTGAAGCACAAAATAGTGGTACTTCTACCACTAATGTAGTTTACAATGAGGTTTTTAATAATTTGTAATTTAGTCTTTCTTTCAATAATTTAATATTTTATTTTCTCTGTTTCTTTTGGGTACAACAACGCTTTATTTTTTTTATTTCATTTTGAAACAATACTTTATTTAAAAAAAAAAATATTGTATTAACCCCGTGCATTATAATAATAATATAATAATAAAAAATAATAAAAAATAAAGAAAAGGACAAATGCAACGGCAGCCTTGCTGCCTTGCAATACTAAAGTACAACAAAGCTATCATTCGGCAACCTTTGTTATACTTTGCAAACTTGCTAGAACTGCAAGTTTGTACAATAATACATATCATATTAAAAAAAATAATATTAGTAAAAAATAATTTCATGTGACATGCCAAATCATCTTGCAAATTGGTACACTTGCAGGGGTAAGTTCAACCTTAGGAATTAGCTATTTGGGGTTGGGGTTTGAAATTTAATTTTTAATTATTAAATGATTTTAGTTTTATAAATTTTAATTGTATATATATACCATACTAATAAGAGTCCAAGAGAGTTAGGCCTATAAGGGTAGAAAAAATGACGGTCAAATTTTTTTAATCAAATGAATGGCTAGGATTGATCATATTTTAATTTTTTTTTAAAGATTTTCTAATTTATCCTTAATGAATATGATTATCCGTTAACTAAATATTATGTTTTCCGTTAATTTCTATTAGTTATCCGTTAACTTACTCATTGATTTCAATAAGAAAGGTCTTAGGTTCAAACCTCATCACAATCAAAGTTGGCATAATTAGTACTCTAATTTACCTTTATTAAATTGTAAATAATAATTTAGTAGCTACAACAAAAAATAATACATATGTATTTATTTTATTTAGAATTATGGGTCTATAATGTCTTTATTAAAAAAAAATATGCATTATCAATAAATTAAATAAGAGAAATAATTTCATTACTTATATTGTCTTTATTTTTCTCCAAATATAAAAATTTTTTACATTCAAATTCATCAATTGATTACATTCGCTACATTATTCTACAATGTCTTTATTAAAAAAAAAGTATTCATTATCAATAAATTAATTAAAAGAAATAATTTTATTAGTTATATTGTCTTTATATTTCTCCAATGTAAAAATTCTTTACATTCAAATTCATCAATTGATTATATTCACTACATTGTCTATTATCTTTTTTGTGCACTATTTTTTAATTAAATATCAAAGTTATAATACAAAATAATGCTATACAAAAGGTGGATCTTCTCTTGATCTTCTTGTCTTCATTTGTCCCATCCTTGGTTGTAGAAAGAAGCTAACTTCTATTGACTAGATCTTTTTGCTAATCTATTGACTCTGAGTTCACAGCATAAGTGACTCGGGTTCTAATACAATAATTTTAAATTTATAGAGGGCTTAATTTGGTATCATCAAAATCTAGATACAAAATGTTCCTAACATTATGCCCTAATTTTTATTTGGTCTCCCTCCCGTATTTGGTTGCAACCATACCCATACAATTATTTTATTGACAATTATAATCAATCTTGTCTATATTATCTTGCATTTGTAAACTTAGAATTACCTATTTAAATAGGTAAATTCAACATTCAATTATCATGAACGATTCCAATAATAATATGCTTATTAAAATAATCAGTAATATATAGAATTTATAAGGAAGATTTTGCGTAAAAATGGAAAACAAATATAACAAGAATCTCATTTCCTCTAAAATTTGTGTAATTAAATAGAAGATTTTGCAAAACGTATAGTTGTAGAGTTCTATTTATACACTTCATTATGCTAATCGTATAGTTGTAAACTTCCTCTCGGTTATAAACATTTGAATCTTAACAGAGTACAAATCATTGTAGTAATTTTATTACACCAAATACGCATGGCTTCAACTTCAATCGACATTGTTGGACGTGAAATTTTTCCTAAGAACAGAGGAATGCAATAAAGGTTAGAGTGGTGTGTACCTATAAGATTCAGAGATAAGAGAGGCTAAAACAGTGAAGTCTATAGAGTGCATATTCCATGATGAAGAGGCATTGTACCTTTTGTACTATCGTTTGAATATTTTTTTTTAATTCAAAATGTTTTGTTTATGCATATAGTTTTTTACGATATTTTTTGTAACACTTTAATTTCAGGGAATTTTTTTCATGCACATATTTCTAAAGATATGCTCAAAAGTATTCGAAGAGATTTAAAGAAGGCGGAGTTTTTTGTATAAAGAGTTTTTTTTTTTTTTTTTTTGTGATTGCTAATTTTTTGAAGTTCTATTTTAACACAGTTGTGAGAGAATTCAAGGACGCAGTTTTTTCTAGGCCTATTTGTGACAAAGAAGATGATGATTTCTTTGATGAGGTGCAATATTGTTTACATTTGTGATTATTTATTTGTCACTAACATTTTTTCCTTTTTTTTTGTGTAACTTTATTTAGTTATTTAACTTTTCCTGCCCTTTAGACTTTCTGGATGGAGAGGTGGCTGAAAGTCCTATTGGAACTTTGGAGCGAAACAAGCTATGCGATGCAAAGGATGGAGGATCTATTAAGAGCTATGAATGTTGAGAAGATGGATTGAAATCAGTAATAAAATGTTTTCCTGTTGAGAGCCTAGCCATTTATGCCTTTGGACATTAAAATTTGTTCCCATGACTGATGGTTGACATTTTACATGCATTTGTCCCTGGTTATTTCAATATTTTTGTTATATTTTTTATTTATAATTTTAAATTTGTGTATTTTGTTTAAATGGTAAGATTGCATGGTTTTACATTACTTTGAATATGCATTTTTTTTTATTTTTTTATTCACACCATGTTCAGATGTGAAATTATAGTTTAAAAAAAGAATAGGGAAAATGGTCAAATAAGCCCTCAAACATTTGCTAAAGAGTCAATTAGCCCCTACAACTTTTTTAAGGTGCAACTACACCCATAAACAATGCATTTTGATGCAATAAAACCCAAATACAGGTAAATGACCTGCTATCATGGGTCATTGGAGATCGGGCCATTTTCTGACGTATTTTTCGACATATTTTCAGGCAAACAAGTGACCGGCGACCGTTTGACAGACTCCGGTGGTCGTGGTCACCTTCTCGCCGTAGAAGGCAACCCAGATAAAAATAAAATTATTCATTATCAATAAATTAAATAAGAGAAATAATTTCATTAGTTATATTGTATTTATTTTTCTCCAATATAAAAATTATTTACATTCGAATTCATCAATTGATTATATTCGCTACATTGTCCCTACAATGTCTTTATTTAAAAAAATTATTCATTATCAATAAATTAATTAAGAGAAATAATTTTATTAGCTATATTGTCTTTATATTTCTCCAATGTAAAAACTCTTTACATTCAAATTCATCAATTGATTATATTCACTACATTGTCTATTATCTTTTTTCTGCACTATTTTTTAATTAAATATCAAAGTTATAATACAAAATAATTCTATATATTTATTTATCAAGTATTTTATTAATACCATGAAAAAATTTAAAAAATATAATTAATAAAGCCAATCATATTAACTACTTGAGAGATTTGTTGATAAAGAAAGTATTCAAATCACACAACAAATTGAAGTGAGAACTACCTCGCAATGTCCTTCTTTGATAATTAGCAGTTAGCGGTTAGCGTTAGCAGATTATATTAGCAAATTTGACCAGCGAATTATATCAACAGTTGGTAAAAAGATATTTGAAAAAATTAGCTATTTAGATTAATATGTAAAATGACGTAAGGGTATACATATATCCTATATATAATAAAGCTATACGGTCTTGTGAAAATTAAATGGTGATAATCAACATTTAATTTTCACAAGACCATAATAATATTGTTAATTATAATAACAATAACATTAATAATAATAATAATAATTGCAATAATAATAATGATAATAATTTACACTGACAGTGTCTAATATATATATATATATATATATATATATATATATATATATATATATATATATATATATATATATATTTATATATATATATTTATTTATTTATTTATATTTCAATTTCTACTGGCAAATTATTGTGTGAACGATGGTCCATGTAATTGTATGAATCATAAATATCAAATACATTTTTAGTATATTAAAAATACATTATTTTTATATTGAAAGTACCTTACATACATATATAATGTACCCTTAGTATATTTAAAATATACTTTTTATTGCATGCAACCCCAAAGTTCATAAGTTTGAAATTAATATATGGCATAGCTAGGTGGCCTAATATTTAAGATTGTTGATGTACATATTGAGGACTACGGAGACAAGGATGCGTTATTCGTGGATTCATTGGATACTATCTAATAACACTCTCCAACTTAATTGACGTGAAGTAGGCTTAGTAACATTAAGATTATATTCTCAAATTATTAGTTCTTAACTTTTATTGATTACACACTTAATTGGATAGTATTTGGAAGAAAAAATCAATATTCGAACTAAGATTGTGATTTTGGTCTTTAAAGGTCAATTATATGTTGCCACATCTAGAGTTAGAAATCTCAAAGGTCTAAAAATTTTGATCCGTGGTGACTCTAAAATTGTAATTCAATTACTATTGTAGTTTACTAAGTTCTTAAAAATTTGTAATATTAAATACTATG